AATATCCCATTTTGAAAATTTTGTTATAAACTAAAATTTTATGAGTAAACATATTAAAAAGCAATATTCTAGAACTATCCAAAAATTTTCATGAAACATTACGTTAATTATCTTCAGAGAACTACCTTTATGAAGCCATGGTAGGTGGGATTTTGCTATGTAAGATACAAATTTTCTAAAGAGATAATCATTATTTTCTATTAATTACCTCATTGTATCTAGTCTTCTAATTATTTTACACAGTGGGGGTGTGCTTGAGAATTTTGCTGACAGATTAACATTTATCTTTAAGTTTACTGTGTGCCTTAAGCAAAGGACATTTATGGGGAATAGTGAGAAGTGAAATCTATATATATAGATTTTACAGAAAGCCCAATTATTCTTGAGTGCCAGGTTGAGGAACTTAATGAATAAAGTTTATTGCATAGGCAACAGGAAATGTAGTTTATTAAATAAAACTTATTTCACTGGCAATAGCAAAGAATTGCTGATGGCTCTTGAGAAAGAGTGCTACTTAAGAAAGATTAATGCACATGTAGGAGGAAGGAGAGAGCCAGGAGGCAAAAGACCTGGTTAAGAGGCTAGTAACAGTCCTGGAAAGCAAATAATAATGGCCTTCCTTTGGGTCCTGGCAGTACAAATTCAAGAGATGTTGAGATATAAGTGAGACTATAATTCACAAGAGTATTAATTAGCTTTACCTGGTAGAAGGATTGGAAATTACTTTTTGCCTTTTTTCCATGGAACTTTCTGTATTTTCCTGGTTTTCTGTTTTTGTTTTTTTTACCTCATGTATGGATTATTTTTATTAGTAAGAAAAAAAACCCCATTTTTAATTTTTTTAAAAGAGAAAATTATTGAAGGAGGTACCTGTGAGCTGACTGATATCAGGGTGCACTGTCTGTATGAGGGAAACAAAGGAATATTCAAAGATAATTCAAAAGATCAGTCTGAATGGAAAAATAGCCATAGTAATAATCAAAAGAAAATAATCAGAAGAAGTAAGTTTTACTTTTTTTATTTTTTAATATGGAACACTTCACGAATTTGCGAGTCATCTTTGCGTAGGGGCCATGCTAATCTTCTCTATATGGTTCCAATTTTAGTATATGTGCTGCCGAAATGAGCATGTAAGTTTTACTTTTAAACAAAAGTCTGAGATAAAAAATGAACACCAAAACAGCAACTGTTAAAATTTCCTACCTGTGTCAATCCTGATGCCTTGAATAACTCCTGTGGTGATCTGCTTCCATAACTATTTGGAGAATGAAGTGACAACAGTCTGCTATATACTTTGTTTCTAACCTATAAAAACAGCATTTTATAGTTTAAAAACTAATTAAGATAAATTTGGATTACAGACTTTGCAACAGCTTTATTGAGATACAATTCACCCTTTTAAAGTATAAATTCAGTAGTTTTTCAGTGTATTCACAGAGTTGTACAACTATCACCATTATCTAACCTTAAGAAAATTTTAATTGCCCAAAAAAGAAACCCTGTATTCACTAAGAGTTACTACCCAATTCTGCCTCCTTCCCATTCTCTAATGATCACTAATCTAACTTCTGTCTGTGTGGATTTGCCTATTCTGGACATTTCATATCAACAGTGGATTATGGTTTTAATTTCTCTACTATACTTGGTGAAGTCAAGACATGTATCTTTTGTGAAAGTTATAGTGTATAATGGAAAGATCACTAGACTTTGAATCAGAAAACTTGCTCAAGTCTAGTTCAGATTTAGTTCTGCTAATCATCTTGGCAAATCAATTAATTTACTGAGTCTCATTTGCAAATTAAATATAATCTCTACTCTTACAGTGTTATGAATTATTCAGGGCTATATAAACATAAAGTAGTAAAATTCACCTTTGAACTTTAGTTTCTTCATCTATAAAAAATGAATAATGGAATTTGCCATATTTAATCTCAAGGTTGTTATAAAGATTAGATATTACATACAAATGTGCTTTAAAAACTACAAAGTTATACAAATGTACATATTTAACAGGGACAGACTTAGCTTAATTACATGTCACAGCTTTTGTATTTTCCTATGAAGGAAACACATGCTTTGTATTTTCCTATGAAGGAAAATTTATGTGTAATAGTAAAAAGATACCTTTTGTAGAAAAAGAAAAATACTCTTTAAATGTCTGAATCAAATCATCTATGAGTAAACCTGGGTTCTACAGAACAGAATATTAGTCACTGTGTTAAACTGGGTCCTCTGAGAAGCAAATGCCAAGACAGAACTAAGCACGCAAAGATTTTATTAGGGGAGATGCCTATGAGAGAAAACGGGAGTGCTAGGCAAGGTGGGAAGAGCTGTCAGACCACAAGTCTGATTCCAAGTGAATGAGAGAAAGAAGGAAGGGATTGGGTCCAGGCATCCTAAAGGAATGAGCTCAAGCTCACACAGCTAGTGAAGGAGACAGTACCTGGGCCTGAATAATCTGGCTTCAGAGTCTGTGTGCTTAACAATTTACACTACCTAAGAATTTATTGTATTCCTAGAAGAAATAGATGCCCCATTATGATTGAACTTGAACTCAACCTAATTTAATAAATCTACTCATATCTTATATATTGTATCCATTGTATCCAATAAGGCTCCTATTGATTGACACTCAATAGTCTACTGACTGCTTATCTAACCATACATATAAAAACTGAAAACCATCACCCTCCCAATATTCAAACATAAACAAACTCAAACAAAATTTGATACACTGAATAGCCCCCAAGGTATGTATTTTTTCTTCTAGTATTTTGTCTCAACAAAAGAATATAGTCCAAAGTTCCATTAGAGCTCACTAGCTAGAAAATTATTTCAAGCTAATACTTTGGGATTTTCAGAAAGGTGCCACATTATATACCTCTTTTTTAAAATTGAGAAAGTAGTTGGATTGGTCAACATGAAAAATCTCAAGGGCTGATCTCCTTAAGTTGTAACGCCGTAGGTGAATCTCTCGAACTTGAGAATGAGGCCACTTGAAATCAAAGCCCACTCCTGAAAAAGAAGAAATTTTGTGACTGAGGTACCATACAAAGTTACTCATGCTATGTAGAAAATATCTCCTAGTTCCTGGCCAAAGTAGCACTTAGGGAAAACGAATTCAATTTACATATTACACAAACCATTTGTTAAATTCATTGGATGTTTAAATTGTTTCTTTTAAAACTATTTTACAATTTTATAGCTATTCCACTGTCTTCCCATAAGAATAGAGAATAATTCTGAATACTGTATCTTAGAAACAGTTTTCTTTTTCTCTTTATGTTGGCATCTTAGATTTAATCATCCTTTTATTATCACATAAAGGATTAGGTGAGAAGCCTACAGGAATAAATACACATACAAAAATATAAAATTAACATCGTATTTTATAACCTAAGTTTATAGCAGTCCCCTCTAGCCAAACCTTTTAAAATACATTAATAATAAAAAGGCATTCCCTTCAATACATTGTTGAATAATAAATTTAACCCCATATTGACTTTCCATTTTTCCTTTCACGTAATAGACTATAATTTCCCAGTCCCAGCTTACTGCTTTCTTCTTCTCATTCATGATTGATAAACTGGATACTTGATTATTGAATAATAAAAATTATTCTCGCAGAATTCCTTACCATCTTCTTTTTCAATGCTACCATCATAGAAGTAAATATGTTGAGTAGTGATTTCTAATCTTCCAGGAATAACATCAATTATTGTAATGAGTTCACAGTCTTCCATCAATATCAATTTTTCTTTTTGATCTTGTTCTTTTTCATCACTGTAAAAACAAAAAAACACTGAATAATTTATCTTTCTCAAATGGAAAAGAATACCATATTCAAATATAAATCTCATGTCTGTAAAATTAATGTCCAAAAACAATATTTGAATTACTTATAAAAAATTCTACTGCATACTAAATTACTTAAATATTGTCCAAATATTTTTATTTTTCAATGATTCAGTTTCATAAAAATACATGCTTTATATTCTAATTGTAAATGACACCTTAAAACGAAATACAGTGAATCTTTAATGCAATTAGCAGAGGACAGTTCAAAATGTAGCAATATTGGTCATATCATTTGTTATATTCTGGGAGACATGAATTGACTCAGGGAATATACGACTCTATGAATACAATATTGCATTATTAGTGGTGTTTAATAAATAATTATTAGAAGTACTAAATATGATTCTTAAACTGTCAAATGAGACTTTCAAGAGTAACTAAAACCAGAGCATCGTAATCACAGTATCTGCCCGACAACCCAACTGGAGATAATACAAAAATCTACTATTGCCATACCTTACTTAAAGTGAGGTATCCTTATATTTGGAGGAATGTTATCATTTGTATTTGTTGGAGGGAGTAACTACAAAGGGACATTCTTCTAGTCGTCTAGGTGACTTTAGTTGAGAAGTACAGAAAGGGGTGCTCCTATCATTCATAGTATGTTACTCAAGTAAATCTTTTAAGCCAGCTGCTCTCTGGTCCTAGATATTTCAAATGTGCCTCAAGTCCAGGTTAGCAATGAGTAAGTTTAATTTTGTTTCCAGTAAGTTTCCGTGAAGAAGATCTGCAAGTATTAACAACTTAGCTGGTAATATTGCAGCCCTTTACTTAAAGCTAAACCTCAAAAAAAAAAAAAAATTAAAGCTAAGCTTTTTTTTTTTTTTTTGAGACAGAGTCTCACTGTGTTGCCCAGGCTAGAGTGCCGTGGTGTCATCCTAGCTCACAGCAACCTCAAACTCCTGGGCTCAAGCGATCCTACTGTCTCAGCCTCCTGAGTAGCTGGGACTACAGGCATGTGCTACCATGCCCGGCTAATTTTTTCTATATATTTTTTAGTTGTCCGATTAATTTCTTTCTATTTTTAGTAGAGACGGGGTCTCGCTCTTGCTCAAGCTGGTCTCGAACTCCTGAGCTCAAAATCCGCCCGCCTCTCCCAAAGTGCTAGGATTACAGGCGTGAGCCACCGCGCCCGGCTTAAAGCTAAGCTTTAAAGAAAGAATTACTGGAAAGAATGTTTTCCTAAACAGTGAAATTCCAATATTTATAGCAATAAATGGTTAATGAGTCACGTAAAAACATAAATAGCCTGAAGGTTATCTATATTCAATGACAGAAAATGTTTTGGTTCTTAAGTTTAAAATGAATGCGTCTGACACCCTTTAAGTTCACTAGTCATCAAAGAAAGAAAAAAATTCCAATTAAAAGTCTGACTAAATAATCTACTCAAGCTATTAAATAGTTACCTATATAACTACTCCTACCCAGTTCCCTGAAAACAACCAAGGAAATCTAAAAAAATTATTGAAATAACACGAACAAAAATCCCAATTATGCCAAGAAAGGATACCATTGAACCTGGTCAATTTGTAATATTAAAATAAGCTTCAAAGAAATATTTGCCATGTGTAGTTTATAATTTACACAAATTATATACATAGCTACTCATTTTTGGACGAATATGCAGCTTTATGCACATAGGAAGTAAACATTGGGGCAGATATGTAAATCATGAACTTTGGATGTATTCCCTAACCCACATACAAATCCACTGGCAAAGGGTGGCAGTCTTACTGGGATTGAGGGGTTTAAATACAACTTCTAACCAATAATTGGCTGACCACCAAGTTATGCTGACCCAGAGGCCACCCCTAGTAGGCCACGTTTTACAACAAAAAATAAAACAAAAATCTCAATGAATAGAGACACCATTGGCAACACATGCAGGTTAAAACAGAATTAGTTCAGGAAAGTCACTAAACAGACAAACAAAAACACAACATTAATAACCACCATCAAGAAAGGAAATCATGGCCGAAAACTATATTAAAAGAACTAAAGGGAATTATAGCAATGGAGCTAGTCAAATAGAGACTATATAGAGAGAGAAATTATAAACATTTTTTTAAAAATGTAAATTCTGGAGTTGAAAAAAACAAGAACCAAAATGAAAAATTCACCAGAGGACCTCAACTGAACTTGCAGAAAAAAGAAGCAGGGCTCTTGAAGACGTATCAACAGAAATTGTCCAATCTGAAAACAACAAAGAAAAATGAACCAAAGAGAGTGAAAGAGCCTCAGAGGGTCACCATCAAGTGAACTAACATATGTGCAATGGGAGTTCCAGAAGGAAAGGAGAAAGAAAAGGGCTAGAAAAAATATTTAAAGAAATAATGGCCGACAACTTCCTAAATATGATGAAAAAAATTAATCTACCCATCTATGAAACTCAATGAACTCCAAGTAAGATAAACACAAAGATATCCACATGCAAACACATAGCAAAGGGGTTCAAAACCAAGGATAAAAATAACCTGAAAGCACTATATGAAAAAATAAGACATAGAGAATTATAATGAGATTAATATCACACTTCTCACCAAAGCAATGGAGGTCAGAAGGCTGGGAGATGACATGAAAAAAATTATCAACCAAGAATTCTATATCCATCAAAATTATCCCTCACAGGCTGGGCGCAGTGGCTCACACCTGTTATCCTAGCATTCTGGGAGGCCCAGGTGGGAGGATCACTTGAGCTCAGCAGTTTGAGACCAGCCTGAGGAAAAGTGAGACCTCATCTCTACTAAAAATAGAAAAAATCAGCCAGGTGTGGTGGCACATCCCTGCAGTCCCAGCTCCTCGGGAGGCAGGAGAATTGCTTGAGCCCAGGTGTTTGAGGTTGCTGTGAGCTAGGCTGACGCCATGGCACTCTAGCCGGGGCAACAGAGTAAGACTCTGTCTCAAAAAAAAAAACCCCATTATCCTTCGCAAATGAAGACAACGGTGCTGGGACAACTGGATAATCACATGCAAAAGAATAAATTTGGATGCCTACATCACGCCATAAACAAAAAGAAACTCAAAATGGATCAAAGATCTAAATTTAAGAGCTAAGGTATAAAACTCTCGAAAGAAAACAAAAGAGTAAATCTGCATGACTTTGAATTAGGAAATGGTTTCTTACATCTGACACCAAAAGCCTAAGAGACCAAAGAAAAAATAGATAAATTAGATGTAATCAAAATTAAAACTTATGTGCATCAATGGATACCATCTTGAAAGTGAAAGACAACCCTGTCAGTGGTAGATAATATTTGTAGATCCTGTATCTGATAAGGGACTTATATACAGAATACATAAAGAACACTTGTAACTCAATAGTAAAAAGACAACTCAATTTAAAAATGGGCAAAAGATTTGCACAGATACTTCTCCAAAGAAGACATATAAATGGCCAATAAGCACATGAAAAGAGGCTCAACATTAACAGTCACCAGGAAAATGCTAATGAGATACTGCTTTAAACCCTCTAGTATGGCTACAATAAATTTTTAAAAGCACAAGGAAAATAACAAAAGTTGGGGTAGATGTGGAGAAATTAGAACCCTCATACATTACATTGGAAATATAAAATGTTGAAATCATTGAAAAAAAACAGTTTGGTAATTCCTCAAAAGGTTAAACAGAATTATCATATGACCCAGCAATTCCATTCCTAGGTATATATCCAAGAAAATGGAAACTTATATTCACACAAAAACTTGTAAATGAATATTCATAGAATACTATTCATAATAGCCAGAAAGTGGAAACAACCTAAATGCCTATTGACTGAAGAACAGAAAAGCAAACAGTGATACATCTACAAATGGAATATTATTCAGCCATAAAAAGGCATGAAGTACTATGATAAGCTACAACATGGATGAATCTTGAAAACATTATTCCAAATGAAATAAGCCAGACACAAAAGGACACATATTTTATGATTTATAGGAAATGTCACAAAATACACAAATCCACAAAGAAAGAAAATAGATATGTGGTTGCCAGGACATGTAGGGAAGGAAAAACCACTAAAAGGTATAGGATTTCCTTTTGGGGTGCTAGAAATGTTCTCAAATTAGACAGTGGTGATGGTTGTATAACATAGTGAATATATTAAAAAATCTCTGAATTGTATACTTTAAAATGGTAAATTTTATGTTATGTGAAGTATATCATGATTAAAAAAAATCATGGATGACAAACTGAGAGAATTTGTGACTATCAGACCTTCCTTACAAGAAATACTAGAAGAAGTCCTTCAGGCTGAAAGGAAATGACATCAGATGATAAATGAATACACACAAAGAAATAAAGTGCACAAATACGATAATTATGTAGGTAAATATTTTTTAAAAGTCTTAAATATATATTTTCTTATTTTCTTTCCTTAACTGATTAAAAGACAACTGCATAAAACACTAATTATAAAACTATATTTGTTGGTCTTACAATATATAAAAGTCTAATATATATGACAATATAACACAACAGAGAGATGAAGAAAGAATATATTTGATATTACTTAGGGGAAGTTTTTAAACTATAAATTCAAATTTTAAAAATATATCTAAGACTATTCAGATTATCTATTTGTTCTTCAGGGAGGTTTGGTAATTTGTGTTTTTCAAGAAATTTGTGTAAGTTGTCAAATTTATTGGCATAAAATTCCTTTTTAATCACTTTAATATTTGTAGGAATATCTCCTCTTTCATTCCTGATACAGGCAATTTAGGTTGTCTTTCTGTTATTACTAATCAGTCTGGCTAGAGTTTTATGATTTTTTCTATTTGTTTGTTTTTCATAACCATCTTTTGTTTTCTTTCTTTCTTTTCTCTCTTTTTTTTGAGACAGAGTCTTGCTCTGTCGCTCAGGCTGGAGTGCAGTGGTGTCATCACAGCAACCTCAAACTCCCGGGCTCAAGTGATCCTCCTCAGCCTCTCGAGTAGCTGGGACTACAGGCATGTACCACCGTGTGGGACTAATTTTTTTCTACTTTTTATGATAGTAGAGACAGGGTCTCGCTCTTGCTCAGGCTGGTCTCAAACTCCTGACCAACCTCAAGTGATCCTCCCGCTTGGGCTTCCCAGAGCGCTACGATTACAGGCGTGAGCCACTGTGCCCTGCCCTGTCTTTTGTTTTCTTTAATCTTTCTGTTTTTTGGTTTTCTCTTTTATGAACTTGTGCTTTTATTATTATATTTGTAATTTTCTTTCTTCTGCTTAACAGTTTATATTTCATGCTGTACATTTCCATCTGAACACAGATTTAGCTATGTCTCACAAATCTGATATATTGTTTTCATTATCACTGATTTCAAAATATTTTCTAATTTCAAGGTCCAGCTCCAAGTCATGTCAGTTCTAAGAAGCCTTCCTCAATAATTTCAGTTAATGCTAATAGACACTTAATAGCTGATATAGCATTAACTGTTGGACCTTAGAAATATATAGTGTTAGAATTTCAAGCAAGTATCTTCCAAAATTTTGCAATCCCATTTCTCAGAAGAAAATAATTTAAAATGATTTCAAATACTTATACATACATATTTACTCTGGCTGTTATGTCCTCCTCAGGAAGGTCTAATTTATCCTCCTCCATATCATTAACTTTTACTTGTTTCACAACTTCCAAAAGCAATGAATCACTGGAAGGCTGTGAATGTTGGATACCTGTTTAAAAATAAAATACTCATTAGACACAAAGTAAACAATAATATTACAGCCTTTCTGTAACTTGTGACTGTTAATTATATAATATGTGTACTATAAGTAAAGAAGGTACTAAAATTTAGAGTAATCTATGATGTTTGATGGTGATTTCTAACATTATTATTCATGTGGTAAAAGGAATAAATGTTTTAAAAGCATGGTATCTATTTTTAATGATGGTATTATTTGTTTCAGAAATAGGCCAAATACTTTCTGTAATCATACTTAATTCTAAAGGATGCCAATAAATAAGTCAAAGGAAGAATTATGCTCATTGTATTAATGTAATAGAACTACTTTTACTGTGTATTGTATTTGTTCTAAAGCAATATTAAGAAAGAACACATGACAAATTTTACTTATTTGTTCATTCATTCACTCTGTCATCCCAGGTACAGTGCAGTGGCATCACCATAGCTCACGGCAACCTCAAACTCCTGCGCTTAAGTGACCCTCCTGCTTCAGCCTCTCAAGTAGCTGGGACTACAGGCATGCACCACCATGCCTGGCTAATTTTTTTTATTTTTTTTGGTAGAGACAGGATCTTGCTCTTGCTCAGGCTAGTCTCGAACTGCTGTCCTCAAGTGATTCTCCTGCCTTGGCCTCCCAGATTGTTAGGATTACAGGCGTGAGCCATTGCACCTGGCCACGAATTGTCTTTAATTGGGAGATAATACACAGACCAAGAGATGAAGCGTTATTTTCTAGCACATGAAATTTAATACATATTTCTGGTATACCTATGCAATAAATGTAATATATTTTATAAACTAAACATTCTGTAAGAAGGCAGGGCTGGTGTAATGGAAAGAACATGGGCTGTGAAGTGATAAACCTAGATTCAAATTTTGTTCTGCCATTTATCACGCCATACGACCACTCTGAATCTATGTTTTCTTAACTCTGAAATGGAGACTCAATCACAGGGTTGTTACATAATAACATAATACTGCAAATAACTACAAATAACAAAACACTATAAAAATGGCAAATCCTCCCATAACTTCTCAAATGGTGTTACTGTTCAGACATAAAATGAATCAACCTACTGTATAGTTGCATTTTTCTGCATAAATCTGTTTTCATCATACCTTCTTCTATACTGGGAAGTACCAGCTCATACCTTCCCTAGAACAAGTTTGTAAGTATTTCTACTAAACATGTTTTTTCATGAGGTCTAATATAAGCTTGAATTTCAAAGCATATGAGAATGCAACAACAACTAAAAAGAAGAAAGCCTAGATAATCTGATACAAACAGAAAACTGACTTTATGTAGATGTATGACACTATTCCATTAAGAGTATAAGTTTAAAATCTGATAGAAGATTGAGGGAGGATGGGGGATGGGAGAGAATGCAGCAAGGAGGCCAGTTGGGAAACCATTCTAAGTTTGGGGAAGGACAGCACCAAGCTAAGCCATGGAAATAGCAAAGGAAATGAAAATAAAGAAAATTCAAAGGATATGTAAAAGAGAGCCTCAAAAGAACATTGTATCTAAACAGCTAGTATGTGTAGGGGCTTAAAAGATATGACAATAAACTTATGGATAACATGGATTTTATTTTGAGCAACTAATATACGAAGACATTGATAACTACAAGATACAAGAGAAGCAGAACCTAGGGTGAGGAGCAGACAAACTAGAAAAGAGAATAAATTCAGTTTCAGAAATGTCGTATGAAGGCTGTGGAAGAGGTATACCAATAGGCAGCTGGAAAACATTGGTCTAGAGTTCAAAAGGAAGGTTAGAACTAGAAAGAGAGATAGGAATGCATCATTACATATATAGTGAGGAAGCCATGTGATCACCCAGGAAGAGCACACACAAGCAAAAGGCAAGATGGCTACGCATGGATCTTGGAATACCATCACTGAAAAGATAAACAGGAAAAAGGTTTTAGAAAAAAAGACTAAAAATTGGTATGAAAAGTAGGAGGTTAAACAGCAGAGAATATACTTACAGAGGAGGGTAACTACTAAATGCTTCAGAAACAATGGAAGTAGTGTAAAGACTAAAAATAAGTTGTAGAATTTGGCAATCAGAAAAGAGTATGTCTCTGGGAGGCTGAAGCGGGAGGCTCGTTCGAGGTCTGGAGTTCAAGACGAGCCTCAGCAAGAGCGAGACCCCGTCCCTACTAAAAACAGAAAGAAATTAGCTGGACAACTAAAAATATATAGAAAAAATTAGCTGGGCATGGTGATGCATGTCTGCAGTCCCAGCTACTGAGGAGGCTGAGGCAGAAGATTTGCTTAAGCCCATGTGTTTGAGGTTGCTGTGAGCTAAACTGACACCACGGCACTCTAGCCTGGGCGACAGAGAGAGATGCTGTCTCAAAAAAAAAAAAAAAAAAAAGAAAAGAGTATATCTAATAAAGAAGTACGGACAAAAAATTTTCTTAAACCAAATATTTGTAATGATACATTTAAGAATATACTTTCTTTTTGACTATTGAAATTCCCTAATTTACAAGTGGGTGTGTTCCAAAAGATACTTCATAAATTAGTTGTTGAGAATTCATAATGGACTTCCCATCAAAAATAATATTACAAATAATGGTTAGTTTTGTAGGTTAGCCCATAATGTAAACACTATTCTGTGTATCTGTAATGGTTGCTTACAAAGCAGTACTGGGGTAAGTAAAACAAAACAAAATAAGAAAAAAAATTTTAAAAAGAACACCATGAATTCTGGCAGCTGATAAAAATATAGATAAAAATAAGGAGTAGGTAAAATATTTTGCAGTTAATTCTGAAGTGTACTTCAAGGAAGGAACTTTAAAGGCTTCAAAGATTAATGCCACTGGTTTTTTGCTATTTCCAATTTTACTTTGAAAAGTGTAAATTTTTTCTTCTGTACAATTTTCTTGTCACCATTATACTTAGGGTAAAGTTTTAAAAATAATGATAAAAATTGGGACAAAAAAAAAGAAAGAACATGGTTTTCTTAGACATCAGACAATTGAGACCAAGAAGGGACATAAAATTATATCTGTGTGCATGTGTAGAGGGGTAAAAAGGAGAGGAAGAGGAGGGAATTTCCTGGGGTGGGATTTCTTGGCAAAAGTCAGGAAAATAAAAGGGAACACTATTACTTAAGTAACTACTGGATTGAAATCATTCAGCAAAAGATGTCTGCTGTGTGACAAGGACAGTTAAATTTCAAGGAGTAGAAAAAGTTTAACAGTCTCAAGAAACTTATAGAGAGAAGCTATACACAATTGGCTGTTGCTATGTAAGATAGACTCAGAGTTAGTATTTGTATCCTAAGTAGGGCCATTATTCTGCATTAGGAAAATCACTTACCATATCTGATTTCTTTTAGAATGTAAGACTCTAAATGGCAGGAATCATGCCTCTCTTGATTAATTTTATGACATCAAATGTATTGGCCATATGTTAAGGCAATTTAAAAAACAAGATCTAAAAGTTAGTATTCATTTCATTTATAACTACAATTTAGTATACAGATGACTTCCAATGACTCTTGACAAACAAGATTTGATTTGGAAGTAGTTTACAAAACTATCTCCAAAAACAGAGAGATGACAAGTGAGATGGTTAGAAAAGAAGGGCTTCAAAAAAAAGAGTTGTAGAAGTCCCTTAAAATCTGTTTTGAGGGGCTGGCTTTAGCTCAGCGGTTCCTTCGAAAGTGTCTTAACAACCTCTTTGCCCCATCAGAGCGGTTCGAGACCCGCGGGCACTCTCCAGCCCTTTATAAAAAAAAAAAATCTGTTTTGAAATATTGTCAGGTTAAATATTTTTAAGTGCTTTTTTCTAGAAAAAGGCACTGACTCATCTAAGATACTAAGGGTCTAGAGTTCTATAAAAATAGGTTATGAAAGAAAGGCCTAAAAGATTGCGAAGAATTCTAATTATAGCTAACATTAACATGAGCCTCAGTCTTGACAAGCAAAAAAACAGGGAAAAGGACATTGTTTCACTGTAAGAAACATAGCAGTTCAAAGGAAGTACAGTATAATTTTATTTAATTTAATTATTTAATTAATTTTTTTAGGTAGGCATGAAAATGAGGTTTATATAGGAGAGAAAAATAGGATTATAGGCCAAGAGCAAGATATAGGTTTACAAAGCATGATACATATGCCACAGATGACGACTGGGCCCATTGTCACAGCAAAGGGAGAGCAAAAGGAAGGGTGCAAAAAGGGCAGTATGATTTTATAATTCATTTAAGAAATGACAATCAATGGAAACATGAAGTTATCTTGGATATAGGCCAAATGTAATAGCAGTGAACATGTATAATCATTGAAATATCAATTACAGAATGTCACCCTTCCTTTGTAAGTAAATAATTTTAAGACAATAACACAACAACAACCAACCCCATCAACACTGTCACTATCTTCAGTAAAAAATTAAACAGTCATTGGAACTCACCTAGATTATCTCTTAAGGCGCTAGCTTCCTCATGGGTTTTGAAATTATAATTCGGCACCAGTTTAAGTCTCATGCGGGAATAATTTTCTACATTAGCTAGTTTCCAGTGAATTGGGTTCTGTTTCCTAAGAATATTCAGAAGCAAACAAGTAAAATCATTTAGCTTCAAGTTACTTTAAAGGTACTTTACCTTTGTTTAGCACCATTTTACAAAAATGTTTACAATTATTATTTCATTTGATTCAAATAACCCTCAACCCTGAGAGAACCAAAGTGAACCAAACAGCTGCAGTTTATTTAAATAAAATTTTTTTTTAGAGACGGGGTCTTGCTCTGTTGCCCAGGTTGGAGTGCAGTGGCACAATTACAGCTCACTGCAGCCTCAAACTCCTGGGCTCAAGTGATCCTCTTGCCTCAGCCTCCCAAGTAACAGGGACTACAGGTGGGCACTCCCACACCTGGTTAATTTTTCTTATTTTTTTTTTAGAGACAGTGGCTCAACTTTGTTGCCCAGGCTGGTCTCAATCTCCTGGCTTCAAGTGATCCTCTTTTTTTTTTTTTTTTGAGATGGAGTCTCACTCTGTCACCCAGGCTAGAGTGCCATGGTGTCAGCCTAGCTCACAGCAACCTCAAATTCCTGGGCTCAAGCAATCCTCCTGCCTCAGCTTCCCGAGTAGCTTGGACTACATGCACACGCCACCACCCTGGCTAATTTTTTCTACTTTTAGTAGAGACGGAGGTCTCACTCTTGCTCAGGTGGGTCTCGAATTCCTGACCCCAAGTGATCCTCCCGCCTTGGCCTCCCAGAGTGCTAGGATTACAGGTGTGAGCCACCGCACCCAGTCTCAAGTGATCCTCTTGTCTCAGCCTCCTGAGTAGCTGGGATTACAGGTGTGAACCACTGCACCTGGCCATAGCTGCAGTTTATACATGAGAAATATAAGACAGACTAAATTATTTGCTCAAGATGTCATGAGGTTTACAGGTAGTAGAAATAAGATTTGAACATGGACTTTCAGACTTACAGTTTGATATCTTTACTTTTTCACTGTTAAATGGAAGTTCTTAACTATTTATAAAGTTAGTTTATATTTCCAATACCGTTTTCAAAATAAAAAATAATTTTACTACAAATTAATATAACTGCAAATGGATCAAAGATCTAAATATAAGGGTGAAAATTATAAAACTCTTAGAAGACAGGCATAAATCTTCATAACCTTGGACTTGGGAATGGTTTCTTAGATATGACACCAAAAACATATGCAACAAAAGAAAAAAATAGATAAACTGGACTTCATCAAAATTAAAATCTTTTGCGCATCAAAGGCCACTATTAAGAAAGTGAAAAGATACCCTGCATTTAGGGTAAAATCATTTATCTGATAAGGTGTATTATTGAGATTATATTTCAAAAAAAAACAAAACTCTTTACAACTCAACAAAAAGTCAAACAACCAATTTAAAAATGGGCAAAGGACTTGAGTGGACCTTTCTCCAAAGATGATAAAGAAATGGCCAACAAGCACATGAAAAAACACTTGACATCATTAGACATTAGGAAATGGAAAACAAAATCATAAGCTACCACCTCATACCCACTAGGAAGGCCATAATAAAAAATCAGGAGATGACAACTACTGGTAAGGATGTGGAGAAATGGGAACCCTCATACATTGCTGCTGAAAATATAAAATGATACAGAAGCTGTGGAAAACAGCTTGGCAATTCCTCAGTAAGTTAAACACAGAATTATCATAAAACCCAGCAATTTCACTCATAGTATACACCCGAGAGAATTAAAAACAAATGTTCAAACACTTGTACACAAATGTTCACAGCACACTATTCACAATAGCCAAAAAGTGGAAAACCACCTAAATGTCCATCAATTGATGAATGGATAAACAAAAGATGATATATCCATACAATGGAATATTATTCAGCCACAAAAAGGAATAAAGTACTGATACATGCCACAACATAATGAAAACATTATGCTAAGTGAACGAAGACACAAAAGACCACATACTGTATGATTTCATTTATAGGAAATAACCAGAATAGGCTAATCACAGAGACAGAAAGCAGATTAGCGGTTGCCAGGGATTGGGGAAGGCAGTAACGAGGAGTGACTGTTTTGGCTATTTAATGGGTGCAGAGTTTTCCTTTTGAGGTGATAAAAATGTTAGGAAGCCAGACAGTGGTGATGATTGCACAACATTAGGAATGTATTTAATGCCACTGAATTGTACATTTTAAAGTGGTTAAAATAGTAAACTTTCTGTGTATTTTACCACACTATAAAAAGATCTATTAAAAAAGATAATATAATTTAGTAAAACAGAAGTGATTTAGGATCAATTAAATAAATCGTAAGGTCAAACACATAGCATCATTAAACCTAGCTCAAAGAGGTGGTATCAGAAAGACAGAAATAAACTGGTTCAACACTTACTATGAGTCTAAATCCAATCAACTTTATATCAGAGTAAAAGGAAGAGAAATAACTGCATGGTGAAAGACATATACACACAAACCTCTAATCATCCCAAATCTATAATTCACAAAAAGACAATAAAATTAATTAAAAACACTATTTTATTAATATAAACTAAACATTTAAAAAATTGCAATGAAGAGGGCATTAGCTCAAAAAGTTCTAGACCAGAATTCTAAAGAATAAAGAGTAATTCATAAATGACAGACTCCCACCTTTCAGCCCAAGGTCCCCTTTCGCATGTAAGATAGAGCTGTACTGCCTTCCAGTGTCTAAGAGTGGCTGACTGTTGGCTGCTAAGTTGTTTAAGCATATTATTATATCTCAGGTTCTCTTGGCGTGCTTTCCGATTAAATGGCTCCACAAAAATCTCCTAAAAGAAACGGCAATAAATTAGAGCCTCGAACTATATATTTATAGGTATATTTACATTTTAATATCATCATTTAAAAAATCTGACCAATGAAATCATGCACCATGAGAAAGAAGCTGGTAACTAACAGGCTTTTACTATTCCACTAGAATCATTTTTTTTGATGAAGCATAATTCTAGCTATAATCTATTAATATTTTTAAAACTTAAAAACATAACTAGCCAACAATAAACATGTGAAGAACTTAAAAAAACGGAAACAATATAGTGCAGACTGGAGTGCAGTGGTGATCATAGCTCACCAAAGCCTTGAATTCCTGGGCTCAAGCGATCCTACTGCCTCAGCCTCTGGAGTAGCTGGGACTACAAGTATATGCCACCGTACCCAGCTAATATTCTTTTCTTTGTAAAGGTGGGTCTTGCTATGTTGCCCAGGCTGATCTCAAACTCCGGGCCTCAAGTGATCCTCCCACCTCAACCTCCCAAAGTGTTGGGATTACAGGCATGAGCCACTGCACCCACCTATGTTTATATTCTTTTACCAGTATCACCCAGTTCTGACTAATAAAACTTAATAATACACCTTAAAATTGTAGTGTAAGTCCTCCAATTTTGTTATTCTTTCCCAAAATTGCTTTGGTTATTCTAATTCCTTTTTATTTATAATACATACATATTTTAGAATCAACATGTCTGTATGTACAGAGAATCTCCCTAAGATTCTTATTGGGATTGTATTCTTCAAGATCAATTTGGGAGAACTGAGATCTTAAGATGACTTAAGACTATTGAGTCTTCTAATTTATGAATATAGTGTCTTTTCATTTATTTAGGCCTTCTTTACTTTATTTCATCAGTGTTTTGTAGTTTTGGCATATAAATAGCAGATGCTGTATATGTTTTGTCAGACTGATACCTAAGTAGTTTATTATTTTTAGAGCTATTTATTATAAACAGTATTTTTTTAAAAATTCTGTTTTTTCATCACTAGTTTATAGAAATATGATTAAATTTTGTGTATTGATTTTATGTCCTGCAAGTAGGCTAAACTCACTAATTATAGGAATTTTTTGGTAGATTCCTTGGGATTTTCTATGCTACGTAGAGAATCATATTATCTGCAACAAATTTTATTTCTTCTTTCCCAGTATGAATGTCTTTTTGTATCTGTTTCTATTCTTACTTCATTTGCTAGGATTTACAGTAGAATAGTAACTAAGAGTAGACATTCCTGCCTAGTTCCCTATCTTAGGAGGAAAGTACTCAGTTTTTCACCTCTAAATATGAAGCTAGCTGTAGCATTACTGTAAATGTTGATGTAGCTCCCTTCTACTCCTAGTTTGTGGAGAGCTTTGATGATAAATGGATGTTGAATTTTGTCAAGTACCTTTTCCACATTGCTGATATGACAGTTTTTGTTGATAAATTTATTAATGTGGTCCCCTATATTGTTTGATTTTTAAATGTTGAACCAGCCTTGCATTCTAAAGATAAACTCTACTTTGTTGTCATGTATTTTTAAATATATATTGCTGGATTTGGTTTGTACTTATGTTCCTGTGAGATACTGGTCTGTAGTTTTCTCGTATTTTTGTATTGATAATACTCCCCTGATAAAATAATTTGGAAGTATTCCTGCTCTTCTATTTTCTGAAGAGACTGTAAGGAATTGGCATACATTCTACCAGTAAATATTTGGTAGAATTTGCCAGTGAAAGCACATGAGCCTGGAGTTTTCCCTTTTAGAAGGTTTTTAACTATAAATTTAACTTTACTTTTATATTTTGAGACACAGTCTCACTCTGTTGCCCTGGCTAGCATGCAGTGGCATCATCATAGCTTAGCACAACCTCAAGCTCCTGGGCTCAAGTGAGCCTCCTGACTCAGCCTCCCGAGTAGCTGGGACTAAAGGTGTATGCCACCACGCCCGGCTAATTTTTCTATTTTTGGTAGAGACAGGGTCTCGCTTTTGCTCAGGCTGGTCTTGAACTACTGATCTCAAGTGATCCTTCCACCTCAGCCTCCCAGAGTGGTAGGATTACCAGCATAAGCCACTGTACCCAGACTAAATTCAATTTCTTTAATAGATACAAGATTATCCAGGTTATCTAACCTTTTGAATTGGTTTTGGAAATTTATGTCTGTCAAGAAATTGATCCAGGCCCGGGTGCGGTGGCTTATGCCTGTAATCCTAGCACTCTGAGAGGCCGAGGTGGGTGGATTGTTTGAGCTCAGGAGTTTGAGACCAGACTGAGCAAGAGTGAGACCCCGTCTCTACTAAAAATAGAAAGAAATTGGCCAAACAACTAAAAATAGAAAAAATCAGCCAGGCATGGTGGCACGTGCCTGTAGTCCCAGCTACCTGGGAGGCTGAGGCAAAAGGATCACTTGAGCCCAGGAGTTTGAGGTTGCTGTGAGCTAGGATGACACCACGGCACTCTAGCCCAGGCAAGAGAGTAAGACTTTGTCTCAAAAAAAAAAAAAAAAAAAGAAAAGAAATTGATCCACTTAAGCTGTTAAATTTATGTGCCTAGAGTGGTCTGTTCCTTATTACCATGTTGATGTCTATGGAGTCAGTGGTGATAATTCCTCTTTCATTACTGGTATAAGTAACTTCCCATGTCTCTTTTTTCGCTTTGTTTATCTGGGTAGTTTGTCAATTTTACTGATATTTTGAAGAACTAGATTTTGGTTTCACTGATTTTTCTCCATTTTTTTTCTGCTTTCAATTTGATTGATTTTTGTTCTTTATTCATTTTTTACTTCTGCTTATTGTGGGTGTAGATTACTTTTTTTCCTAGTTTCTTAATGTAGAAACTTAAAATTTTTAATTTGAGGGCTTTCTTCTTTTCTAATATAATCATTAAGTGCTATAAATGTCCCTCTAAGCATTGACATGTATCCAGCTTAGATATCTGGATACATATTAATGTATAAAGGTATCTACTAATAAACTATCAGCTTAATAGACTTTTTACATTATCACTATGTATAGAACATTTTACTATTAATTTATATTAATTGTTACTCATCAGTTGTTTTTATTCCAATTCTAAAATAATTGTCAGGCAATGGAAATATTATTTGTTTTCCAAATTTTGGGCATGGTATTACTCTTATTTAATATTAAATGCTTAAAATCAACATGAAAAACTAGATATTAAAACATTCAATACTTTTTACCTGAAATTTGAGCTTGCTTTCCCCTCCTTCCCGGTCTCGTTTATGCATATTCACCATTAAGGCTTCATAACAATCCTTCCAATAAAGTGCCATGTTCTCATGACCTTCATAAAATGTATGAGTTTCATACTGCTTCATATAAGGCACAATCTTATGTAAAAGAGAATATACAAGATTTAATATATACTTCTATAAAAATGATAAAATAGAAAAATTTTGCTCAAAAAAGATAAAACTTACATATTTTTCAATGTAAACTTGCCATTCATTTGAACTACAATATTCTTGAAAATCTTCAAAAAATGAAGAGCTACCATTGGCAAAAGGTAACGAAGGCAGGTGCAAATTCATGAAGAGAAGCTCATAAATTTTGGAAACCAGGGTACGAACAAGGGGAATCAGAAATGAGTAGATTTCAGTCTGTTGCTTGATTGATTGACTTAGAACATGTTCCAGCTTTCCTAAAATATAACATGCTTCATCCTGATTTTCAATCACTTTTGTCTGAAGAAGGGTGTTTAGCTTAGCGGATGCCATTGCACAGACCTGGAAGAAAACAGTTTAGGTGAGAAAGAGCAGACTAAAGCAAACAATTAGTGACAGCATAAGTTCTGCCTGACTCTGTAGGCTCAGAACGTTTATATACGATAACTGTCGAGCACTGTAAAGGGTCTTAGATCTTACCTTACATCCAAGCTGACAAGTTAGCCTGCCACAGTTTCACAGATGTTGGCAGAAGACACAAGACTCCTAGGTCAAAGACAAAAATCTACAACAACAGCAACAGCCAGAGTATCGGTTTTTGCATAGGTTCCCCATACTATAATTTCCACAGTGAGAAATGAAGAGGACTAGATGATACCTGCACATGTAAGTACATTTTAGGAGAGGAATCCTAAGCACAGGGAACCTAAATCTTTTATATTAGGCAGTAAACTTGTCTGATCTTTGTTACAGAAGAAGACATTATCATTATTATATTGGACAGTAAACTACTCTGCCTTTTCCTCTGGAGGAAGACATGACCTCTATCTTCCAAAGTTGCTCATACAAACAACATCAAAAAGGCAGTTCATAACAAAGGCAGCCAGAGTCTCTATTCATAAGATATGCAGAAATACAATAACAGCCTCATGGCTAATTGTCTACCAAAAATGACTGTAGGAAAAAGCACTCTTTCTCTGGATATGAAAGAGGTAGCATAGGGCCAGGTGCACTGGTTCATGCCTGTAATCCCAGTATGTTAGGAGGCAGAGGCGGGAGGATGGCTTGAGGCCATGAGTTCAACACCAGCCTGGACAACATAGTGAGACTCTGTGTGTACAAAAAATAAAAAAAATTAGCCAGGCATGGTGACACACGTGTAGTTCTAGCTATTCGGGAGGCTGACGTGGCAGGGTAGCTTGAGCCCAGGAGTTTGAGGCTATAGTGAGCTATGATCATTGTACTTCAGTCTGGGTGACAGCATGAGACCCTATCTCTTTTTTTTCTTTTTTTTTGAGACAGAGTCTGGCTCTGTTGCCCGGGCTAGAGTGCCATGGTGTCAGCCTAGCTCACAGCAACCTCAAATTCCTGGGCTCAAGCAATCCTCCTGCCTCAGCTTCCCGAGTAGCTTGGACTACATGCACACGCCACCACCCTGGCTAATTTTTTCTACTTTTAGTAGAGACGGAGGTCTCACTCTTGCTCAGGTGGGTCTCGAATTCCTGACCCCAAGTGATCCTCCCGCCTTGGCCTCCCAGAGTGCTAGGATTACAGGTGTGAGCCACCGCACCCAGTCTCAAGTGATCCTCTTGTCTCAGCCTCCTGAGTAGCTGGGATTACAGGTGTGAACCACTGCACCTGGCCATAGCTGCAGTTTATACATGAGAAATATAAGACAGACTAAACTATTTGCTCAAGATGTCATGAGGTTTACAGGTAGTAGAAATAAGATTTGAACATGGACTTTCAGACTTACAGTTTGATATCTTTACTTTTTCACT